GGCTACTCACAAAAGTATAAAAATGGGTCATAAAACGTTAGTTAGTTTACCGTAAACGATGTTTTAAGCAATATAATCTGCAAAAAGGCTCACCACAACAGTTATTATCTAGTTAAACATGCAGAGAAGTATTAATGATTCAGCAACCGGTGGGTTTTTGATGAATTTTCTTGTGGTTTCTGAGGATGATCTCTCGCTAGTAGTTTGATTTAAGGTTAGGCACTTTTTGATGAAACTGAGGGGGCAAAACTTTTTTCTTAAGAATAATAAACATTTCTCTACCAATATCCTCAGGCCTGGATTTCTGCAGTATGTTTTAATTGCAAAAGTATGTTTATGTGTGTGTATTCACAAAGTTGATCATCATCTTCTGCTCAAAACTGATGAACTTCATCTACATATATATATATCAATCATTATCAATTATATCAGTGTCAACCCGTGGATTGAAGGTTACCTCAACTCATATTTACCATACTAAGGAGTTTGTAGACAAAATTCAAACAACAAAAGAGGCTATTTGTTTCATTTATGTGAGTAAGAATATTGAAGAAATGAAATACCACCGAAAATCATGGAATATACCTATTAGATCATAAGAAGCAGTAAAAATTCAATCGCAGAGAGAAAAATTGCTTTTTCCATGATGCATGCACGGCTTAGCTAAGGCACACAAACAAGAAGCCGCACTCCACCCAATATTAGATATAATAAATTCTCTATATCACTTAATTGCAAAGTGGCTGGTAAAGATTCTTGGATAGGTGAAAGAAAAACTGTCGAGATACAACCTTGGAAACGCATCTGATTTTTGTTGATTGAATTAAGAATGTCAACTTGGCAGACAAAATAATGGTCGCTTTAGATTTTGTCTTTCTTTTCACCAATTTTCTACTGACAGAAACTGTATGTTTTCCTTATGACTTCATTCAATCCAGTAGCGTAGGTGTTAGTATACTGTTCCATGATCTGAAGCGGCTGTTACTCCGATGCACTATCGACTCAGTAACGAAATCTACAGGCAAGTAGATGGTGTGTCAATGGTTTATTCCGTCGGGTCAATCTTGACTGATTTTTTATGGCTAGACTAAAAAACAATTTCTTATCATCAACTATCAGCAAGCTCCATCTCTACAAGAGATACATTGATCATGTTGTCATTATTTTCGACAAGAATCTTTATATCGGAAACCTACTCCAGACCTTCAGTAATGCGTAATCAAACATCGATTTCACTCCAGAAGCTGAATGTGATGCAGTGTTCCATTTTCCCGATTCTCAACTACGACGAAATGCTGATAACCCACTGAAGAGATACATGTACAAATTGCCCACATGAAATGGACCGAGGAATCTTGGTGCAAAATGACTTCCCATCAAAATTCATAGACAATAATCTGGAATCAAAGAAAGTTTCTGAAAAGGTCTGAGTCGGTCACAAAAAGATGTTGCTGCTTAATTTCGAATTTAAAAGTGATAACGAAGTAGAAATTTTCAGTAAACGCCTCTCGAAATCACTCAGTAAAACGTACTTCACCGCCAGCCTAAGAGTGAACTTTTCTTGAAAAAACAATATGTGAAAAACATACTTTATCATTGGGCTACTTCACCGTGTATATACCGGTTCATTTGCTTTTGTGGAGCTGAGTAGATTGGCTGTACCATGCTTCAGCTTGGTAACACTATCTCCCCTGGCTAGAATGCAAGTTTGTAATAGTTTGGTAACAGAACATATGGTGAACTCAAGACATCCAGCTCCATTTGAAAAGTCCTTCGAAGTCATAAAGAAGATTCTGTCAAACCTCCCGAAAAGGGTGAGAACTAGACATCTGATCCAAAAGTTTAAGCCTACACTATGCATTCAGAAGAAATAAGTCCAACATCTGTGTCTGCCATGGTCATCACAAAAACAGTAAATTCTCTCAGTATTGATTATCCCATTACTTTTCTTATCCAAACTTCTTATTTATTCTTACGTAAATGCATATAGACAGAAATTCATATGTGATTATTCTTCAAATTTGTTTACATTCATCATAATAGTTGACAAAGGGTAACTGATTCGCACTATCACTGAATATTGTTCTTTTCATTCACAGATAAATGTATGAGATGAGAGACAGAATATACTGCCGCAAACTTCACCTCAAATAATTGAAGCTAATGAATCTTCAAAAGGCTGGTTAAAACTTGATTACTATGATTCAGGTTTTATTGGGCATAAGTTATGAGTTTCATACCATAAAGCATGTGTTTAGGCATTAAATAAGTTGAAAATAATAAACGTTGTAAAGAGTGTTTCCTGATCACACGGTAATCTGTTATAATTTAAAATTCATATATACATATTTCCTACTCATCGTTACTTCTATTCTAGGTGAAATATACAGCCTAAACAGCACACCTCCATTCTACTCGATGCTCCACTGTTCCTGTTTTGCTGTCTGTATAATTGGCCACAAGCTCTCTTTTCCTCTTCACCTGATTGCCTTGAAATTAGACTTGGATATCCAACCTGTCTCTTTCCATTCAGGTCCCAATTGAAGGACCTGGCTTATGATGTCACCTGAGGGTCTCCTCAGAGTATTTCCATGTTAGATAAGTTTATTTTAAATATCACACATAGAGATGATGCAGTATTACTTAGATTTTAATTCATCCCATCCAGATTGGGTAAAGATAGGTTTAGTTAAATGTCTGTATATTTGAGCTAAGAACCTATCTAGTAAGTCAGAAGATTTAAATAATGAAATCAAACAATAAATAAAGAAAGTATTACAACAAGTAAACAACTATCCACCAGAAATATATTCAAAAACACATGAAGAACCATAGAAAAACTAAGATTAGCAATAAAAATGACAAATATAATATAGAATTCAAAGTGTCTGTAGTACTGCCGTATGAAGATGGAACGTCAGAGGGCTTATATAGGATTCTCATTGAGGCTGGCATTTAAACCAACCGGCCAAACAACTCTCAGAGATACACACACATTTGGCTCAAGCACTCACCCAACAGATCCAATTAAGAAAAATAATATAAATTACTTAATACCATGTAATGACTGTTAATGAGGTCAATTTCATAGGTCAAACAAGTAGATCGGGGTCAACTACTTGATTGGAACATAAAAATTCAGCTACACACACATTAGAATAACTGACCCTGCTAAGTTAAATAACCTAGAAAAAAGCTCAGACATTGCATTACATTCACTTGTATGTAATCACAAAATAGGGTTGACGGGACAGGGTGAGAGTATTAAAAAGTAATATAGTTAGGTGAAGTGAGAGAGAGGCTAATTAGTGAAGCTCTGCTTATCGATTCAACACTGCACACGTGCAATCGGAATGATGCATTACCTTCACCAGAGATATGGAAAGTGGCGACTAAGGGAGGTTGGAGAGGCAAAAAGAGAGAAAATGTGCATGATGAGACAAATTGTGAAACCATGTGACTAAAATTGATATGATTATGAGTAATAATTTATGCTCAAAATGTCATTCAGTTACTAATGCTGCAGCCAAGTTCGTTCCCACTTATCGAACAACATACTCTTCAGTACAATCAGGGGAATACTGCTATTACCGGACATCTTGTTGGTACGGGTCATGAGGGGGATACCATAAAATGCTTTAAGATTATTAATAGACAACATAACTCAACTCTCCTCAAATTTACCGAAACAATCATTATCAGACGTTTAAAACCTAATTTATCTGTTCAGAAGTACCTATTCATCAGTTGTTTGTTGCCATGGTAACTCAGCGTCTGATTTCTTCCTCTTGGTTGCTTTAGCATAATTTAGTTTGTTCCTATTTTGCTTCTATAACTTGACCTGAACTCACTACACAACTGATTAGTTACTCATCGTCAAATTCTCAGCTCTTCTCTTAATTGTGAAGTTCAGTTTTTAATGTATCCGTCCATTAACGTTATATGTTTGTGATTTGTTTAAGCTTTGATCTCTTTGCATAATTTTGTCTCTCCGCTAACCAATAATCATATAACTGTTGCAGTTTATGTGTTAAAATATCTCTGTATACATAAATATATACAAATATTATATATATATATATTGGCCGCACAAAGCGCACATTTTCCAAACGCATCTCTGAACATTATCCGGCATGGTTAGTAAAGGGACAATGCAAGGCAATTACTGGCTCAATTCTCGGGCATTTGGTGAACTCAGGCCATGTAGCCCCACCGGAGTCGTCTTTCAAGATCATCTACAAGGTGAGGCCAAATGGTACAAAGGGTGTCAGGTTTCGGCTTTTGTGTATGGCAGAGGCGTTGGCATTTCATCAATACAACCTTGAACTCTGTATACAGAAAACGTTTGTCCAGTCTCTTATTCTACCTTGGTCTTGACCTTCTCACTAATCGTTCCCTGTTAAAAAAATTTTGATTTTTTCCTTTCCTTTTTTAATTTTAATTTTACTTTTAGTTTGCTTTTGCTTTAATAATTAATTCACTATTATCACTCTCATATGCTCCTTTTGTATATTTTCACACCCTCTTCACACTTGTTAAATTGACACTCAAATACCTTTATTCTCACTACTCAATAGCAATTTTAACGTTATCAAATTTCTATCTTTGTTCCGTTGAGTTCCACGTAATTTACAACTTTTAATTTTTCACTTCTAAAGCCACTTCTGAGTAATTATATCAATTATGTCACCCTCTATTACTCAATAATAGACCACTATATGATTTTGTTAAGTATCAATACGACTGTACAGCCTCTGAAGATGATTTCGTCGATAAAGAAAATTTTCTTCGCTGAATCTGTCTTTTATTTTCTTCATATACATTAACTCCTAGGGTGTATGCAGCTGAAGAGACATGAACGAAATAAATGATGTTCACATATTATTCTAAACAAACTGCTCTTCTTTTTGCTTTATTTAAATTCATAAAAGGGAATAAGCTTTTTCAAATGTTTAACAGTTAAACGCAAAGGTAATTAATGTATTAAACTGTTTACTTACTTCTGACATTTCCATGAAGTCTTTTTATATTCGTAGTAGTAGTAGTAGCAGTGGTATTAGTACAGTTAAATCTCCAAATTTCAGTATTCTATATAGTCGAGTCGATGAATGCTCTAGATTCAATTATTCCTTAAATGTTAGTTTCATTATTATTGCATAATATCTGTTATCAATCTTTTCTTGTGTCTGCCCTGTTAATGACAATCAAATTGAAGTTGTTGACGGATGGATAAATGGGAGATCGAGAGAGGAAGGATGATTCTGATAAAATAAAATGTTAACATTTGATTGGTTAATTCAAATATTACCTCACAGCTATTCGCCATTTATTATTTCCTTTTTTTTTTTGTGTGTGAATATTTTTTTATTGTGGATAATAATGGCTTTAACATCAATGAGTCTGTGAATGTACACCTAACATGTGCATGTGATTATCAAAGACATATATATATATATCGCCATCATCTACAATATAAATGTTTGTCGATAATTTTGAAGATTATATATACATATAAATATACAAGAGCTCATTGTGTTTGTGTATAAGCATTCAATATTCAATGGATGAGTAAATAATAAATGAATGTTGAACAAAGATAACATGTTTATCAAAAAAAAAAAATTTGTAATCCACATAAATTAGAAATAAATTAGAAAAATGATAATTAATTATTTTTGTTTTTCATCTTATGAAAATTTATTTTTATTTTTATCCTAGTTTATTCAAATATTTGTTAGAGCAAAATTTGAGTGATTTCAATACACAATTGTTTTATTTTATTCGACTGTTATAGAGCCAAAGATAAACTTCGACTTCATTCTATGTGTGTTAAATACGATTAAGTAAGTGTAGGTCTAAGTTAACGTGAAAATGATTGAGATGACTTGAAAAATCATAATAATCCAACAATCTTTTAAAAGTTCCTCTCTCTTTGGATGAAAAACTATCTTATTTTGCTTTACTTAAAATAATTGGTCAGGATATGACGGCTTATGACAAAAAACCGCATTAGTGAAAGTTTTTGGTAGTCCAACGTTCAAACAGGACGCTTAGTCGATGAACTCGACAACACATCCACTTTCGACTCCGTATCCAGCTTTCTTTGACACTAACTCAGACCACGCTGAATTCTTATTTTTTTGACAGAATGCGGTATAATGTATATAATTGCAAATCTTCCTCTGCCTTGCTTACTGAAGCTGGTGTCCCTCAAGATGGTGTACTCTATCCTTTTTTATGCCTTTTTTCTTTCTTCTTATGTGACTTGTCCCTTTCGGATGAAATCAGCTGGTGATTCGACTGTCCCGTTGGCAGTTACGTTTCGCTCTGACTGTTCCAGACTTCATAGTTTTTGTCAGCCATCAGCTAGTGTTCTAAGTTAAGTGGTTTTATCTTAAATCCTTCCAAATGTCAGACAGTCGACTTCCCCTTCAAGTACAAACTTGATATATACACAGATTTGTCCTTTCATATGATGCTTGTAGCATAGAAGGCACTTATGATATAGAAACTAAGTCAAGCATTAAATATCTTGGAATAATTCTTTCCTCTGACCTTTATTGGTCATCACATATCTTGTCGATTTCTAAGAAAATGTTTCTTCTAACCTTCAACATTAAGAGGTTAAGACAATCAGGTATCACTCAACATCTACTTATACGCTTCGTCTACTTGTACTCTTGCATCTTACCCATTGTTCCTTCTTTATTGCTCCCCCACTTAGCCTTTCCTGGACTACTCAAAAAGGACTATGTCCTATTGTGAAGGGTATTAGAGGTTGTCAGCATGGCAGGTGGTGTGCCATCAAGTAAGCTCGTTACTACTGTAGACGATAAGCATCCAAACTCAGGCGGGTAATGGTCAGAAGCCATATTTTCTGATTCTCAGAGCCATCTTTATTACAACTTTCCCCCTGCATGTCATCAGGTAGGACTATAAGTTATTATAAAAGACTATATGCTCACACAACTAAATACAAAACTTAACGACACCCTGTTTGACCTATGTTCTATGTGACACGGGAAGTACTGACTGTGAAGTAATTAGCAAAAGAAATCACTCCTTGATCTTCAATTGTAATTTATGGTGACACCATTTCCATCCTTTTATAAATTTAGTTATTCATATCATTTTATACTTTTTGCACATTTTTGAACTTATTGTTACTGATGATACCAAAACGTTACTATTATCAGTTATTGTTTACCTATACCATGTCATCTGTTTGGAGTAAATTAGATTCAATACTGTAACAAATGCTAAGAATTCCATGCTGTAACATAAGTACTGTTTTGGATTAAAGTAAATTATTATTGTAACGTTATGAGACGGGAGAATTGGTAAATGAATGTTTGTTTTTTTTCCTTCACGTTCCCAGTGAAACATAGGGCTTCAAGCTAGCGGCTTGAAGTTTCCTCTTCACCAGCGTTATTTCTGGCTTAGAGAGGTAAAGGAGTGCGTCGGTCGGGGATCGAACCCCGGACCACGTGCATGGTCGGCGAGCGTCCTAACCGCTATGCCACCGACGCACGATAAGTGAATGCGTTTATTTAGAATTTGGTATCTCTATATAGCCAAATTACGTACACCTTATCTTCAAATCACCATTTGCTTAGTTCTTCCATGTTGTGCTACTTCTAGCCTTCCTTCAAACTGTGTTTCTTTGTGGTCCTTTCACGTCTTCCATATCTATCTGCACAACGCTGCATCATTTTCTTTCTCTAACATCACATCTATCTCCCTGCTATTTGATGTTGTTTTATGCCGATGAACATCTCTTTATATATACACACTACTGATGAATCTTATCAGTAGCACACACCACATGATAATTAATGGTGTAGTTAGCAAATCATGGGAATTTCGACTTAATTACCGATTTCCTGAAGTGAACATGAGAGGATAAATTGTGACATTTTTTAACAACAATCAATGGACGTTCATTGTAGAGGAGGAGTCTGACAGTTGTTTTCTATGTGTAGACTTTCAGTTCTGAAGAACTGTAAATTTACTTTGCTAAATGAAAATCTGTTCATCTTTTGAGTAAAATGAGTTTAATGTTATAATAAAGGTTTTCTTGTATTTCCCAATGAATGAAAAACAAAACGATATTTCTGTTTTCACTGACGTTTCGCTATTTAATGCTAATAGCTTTATCAAAGTATTATTAAACCGGTATTTACAAAATCCACTCATCATATATATAACAAACAGTTAAGGGGTGAGAAAATAGACTTAGGTCAAGTTAAAAGGACATATTGAAAGTTAAAATACCAATGAAGATAACTAAACCAAATAACAAAGGTAATAGTATGTCTGTTATGATATCAAAATAAAGTTTACTAACTTGATCATCGTTCGTTAGTCTGGGGTCATTTTTCGTTGTCAAATTGGTCATTTGGTATAGATAGCAAAATCAAGTGTAAATTGTTGGATTTGATCAGTGTTAAAAATTATAAAGGCAGTGTGTGTTTACATAGTGAACTTGCTTATCACATTCGCGTTGATTTTGTCACTTCATGGGGAGGGGAGGTGTTGTAACCAGGTCGGATTATGTTTTAGTCCATCATTCCTATTCAGATAATTTGGATTCCACTTGATATGAAGTGCTTCTGATGGTATTAGACGTTCTTTATGATTTCTGAAGTTTTTCTTCATTATTTCAATATTCAAGTATTGGTTTGGTAGGGATTTTGTTTAATTGCATGGAGGATTTCATCATGAGCTGATATCAGTTAGAGAACCACTGGCTCAATGGTCTACGAGCTCGCCTTGTAACCAGAAGGTCCTGGGTTCGAATCCCGGTGGGGGCGTACTGCTGAAGAGTCCCAAACTATGATGAAACAGATGTCCAGTACTCCCAGGTTTTCCAGTGGTTCTCTAACTGATGTCAGCTCATGATGAAATCCTGTAACCAATCAAATCCCTACAAACCAACACTTGAAAAACAATATCGTTTTGTTTTTCATTCATTGGGAAATACAAGAAAACCTTTATTATAATGAATATCAAATACCCAATGCCCAAATTTTTTCAAACTGTTAAAAGTGAACTTGGTTTGGACATATATGAATGAGTTTACTATGTAAAATTAACATAAACCATTTTTTAAAATATCTTAAATTGCCGACAAACTAATTTTTACTTCTGTTTCCAATGAACTAAAACGACTCAAGGGATTGTAGGTAGAAATAGTAATACACATCTGCTAAGATAATTCAAGTATACATTAGTAGCTTTTTTTTGTTTCAGGGTTTCAATAAACAAAGAACAATTAAAGGAAGAGATTTAATCAATTCATTTTGAACAAAGCAAGGACGACAAATATACCAGGATAGACATGAGCGAGCTCATCTTTTATTATTCCGAGAATTCTTCTCAACTGGCTGGCTACAACCTGAACACAAGAGAAAATATGAATAATATTAAAGATTTGGACATAATTTTTCCACAATGACAAGAAGTAATTGTTAGGAACTAAGAGTAAATAAACATAAGTCCGGAATGATGTGAGTTGTTAAATAATAAAGAGTTAGAAAGGACTGACCACTTTGTAGGATAGTTAGACGAATGTGTTTGGAAACAAAACGACAGAGTTTAACAAATTTTTTTGGGTAGAAACAAGTTTTAATTAGAAAGAGTATTACAGTACAATAAGTTACGTAAGGACAGAAAGTATGTTCTTAAAATATAGTCAAAAAGGAGGGGAGTAGGATAAGTCATGTTTAGACGAAAACTAAAGTTTTATAAACAGGACAGAAGATGACACAGCAAAATTTGTATCCTTTGTTATCATCAAGGCAGTGTAAGATTTACCACTGTCTCTATCTGCGTACATAGATTTAGTTTTAATCGTTTTGGTGGTGATCGCCTCAGAAAAACGTTGCAAGCTAGGTTTCTGTTATCAGTTGATTATTTTGAACATCTTCAGATTGTCCACAAGATGGCCAATAGCCAGTAGATGGAGCGCAGTCGCTTTGGTCGTGTAAATGAAAAATAAAAGTGTAACAACATAGGACACGAGTATATGGTAAAGGAATTTTTTATTGGCAGCCCCATACACAGATATGAGCAAACCACGTCTGTAATATATTAGTAGTACAATTTGCACACATCACCAGTATTATGCTGATCTGTTCTTCTTTGTCTTCCTTTCATGTTTTCCATGTTGTTTCACCACAAGTATCGTTCCTTAAATCCATCTCTCCAATATTCGATATTCTTACAGATGATATGTATATTTATATCTGCATTTATATACTACTTTTAAATCTTGTCAGTAGCACACTCCGCAAAGCTACCAACAACAGTGATAACAATTTGTAAAAATT